AAACTGTTAGTCCTTTCAAATACAACTGTTGAATGTTCTTTAGGTTTTGGACAAGGTTCTCAGCAATTGCTTGGTGACCCATTTCCAGGTGTAAGGAAGCCCATGAGCCCAGTTGCTTCACAGGTTAGATTAAATGCTTTTTGCTACATCTTTTTATATTGCATGGTCTAGAACTAACTTCTTGGAAACACGTACTTAGCTGATGCATTCAGATGTTTGTGCTTAATTAAGTTCACTGAATGTGAGGATGCAAGTAATCTACTACAGTTTCAAAACCTCATTGCAATTGGACCCATCTTAGTATCTCCAGTACAAGACTTCTTTGAGGCTTCATTGTCAATAAAGCAGATGGCTGTTGGTGGGCAGACACTCTGAAGACATGAGTAGTTACAGCAGTGAATCTTCAGTGCTTTAAAAAATGCCCAGCCAAACACAGTCTTTGTTTTATACAATTCTGCTTCAGATGAGTCCCTTGGAAATACAGCAGGCTGCACTGGAGGGACTGGCACTGCCACATGACTTAGCCATACAGGCAGCAAACTTCTATCAGCATGGCTTTGGCAAACCACAAATGGACAAAAGCAGAGATGGCTACAGAAACAGGTGAGTATCTGACTGCAAAATGTAAAGGGTACACTGTCAACTGATTTTTAACATGAGTATTGTCTTTCATTAGTACTAGTCACTCAAGCTTGTATTTGTTCTTGGCAATCCTGCCTTCCATTCTATGCCAAGAGTAGAGCTGCTGCTTACTAACTTCCTGTCCCTTAACAGGCAGCAGCGAGTGACTAAATCACCTGCGCCAGGACACAGAGGGAATGCATCTTCTCCAGCCCCTGCAGCATCCATCACCAGCATGGTCAGTACCTAATGTATGATGATTGCAGGGAAAGCTGTGAAAGTGTCTGCAGTAACTAGGTTATAACAATTGTAAATCGATGGGACAAAGGGAGGCCATAGAGATATAATAATATTCACATTGTATCAATGGCCACATGATCCAAGAACGAATTATGCTTTGTGCTTAACCTAAGGTCTTCCCTGAAAATGGCCTTCTCTGACCACTATCTCTTCTAAAACTGAAGAAGCACCATTTAAATTTACTCTTCTGAAAAAAAGGGAAGATAACTATGAAAACTCAGGCATTCTATTTTGGTAGCTAAGTTTTCAGAAGACAGGTGCTGAAAGCCATTAGCTACTTTAGAGAACACTGGTCTTCAGGTATGAAGAGACTGATCTAAGTGTCTGAGGTTGAAATACTACTTAAGCACTTCGGGGTTGCTTTGAAAACAAATAAAATCTCAAAGCCAAGCTGCAGCCTTGCTGCCTTTAGTACTATGTAGAATGTTGCTTTGGTCTAAATTTGATCAGTCAAGTACTTGCTTGCAGCTCAGGACTAATAGACTATCAGCTGCTAAATCCAATAAGCACTTCTGTTTGTATACCAAATGAGTGGCTTCCACAGATGCTCCTTAACTGTGAATGGGCAATAGTTTTCTGCAGATCCATCAGCCCTGAGCTCATACAGGTAAGGCAGCTCTGTAGGATCCGTTGCTGTTCTGAACCTAGTAGCAAGGAGGAAATAGCTATAATTTAAAATACAGCTCATCTGTTTTGTTTCAAGCCTGTTAAATGTGCATTTAACTTAGCAAACACTTGCTGGTTTCAATAAAGGTATTGGACTTCTGCAAAAGCTATAGAGAATTGCTTAAACCATAGAATGAAGCTATGGAACGAGGTGAAGTAAAATCATGGGCACAAAGTGGCTGATTCAGAAGAGCTTTAAATGGGAAGGAAGTGCTAGAATTGGTGTCCACCCACAACTAAGTGTGGCCTAGATGATGAGCACTGAGTAAAGGTGTTGCTTCTTACTATGTTCTCTGCAGCTGTCTCCTTCCTTCACACCTACCTCGGTGATTCGCAAGATGTATGAGAGCAAAGAGAAGAGCAGAGAGGAGCCAGTTTCTGGGAAAATGAAAGTCAGTGATGGTAAAGATGAAAATCAGAGGCCAAATGAAGGTATTGTAATGGCTTTAAAGCAATATATACAAAAGAGATTTGGAATAGAATCAAAGACCTGCAGTACATAATATGCCCAGGCTGAATTTAGACATTCCCAATTTGTGGAAATGAGGATGGTGTAGAGATGAGCCTATAATTAGAGGAAGGGTTAGAGCTGGGGTACACTTCAAAGTGCAGTGTTTGGTTTAAATCCTTATTTTTTTATTCCCCCCCCCGTCAGTTTACAAGTGATAGTGGCACTAAGGCCTGGACCAGAACTGTTTCTTTGCAGCTGGTCTTGATGAACAAGCTTATTAACAATAATGCTTCCTTATCTCTCCACACCAGTCATTGAATGCAAGCAACTTACAGCCCTCTTGAGACATCTTACAATCAAAGCTGAGACCAATTAAGCTCTTTTAAGATCTGTAGCAGATCAAGGAAGCATTTTGTCACTCTAACTGATGTAAGTGGCTATTAAAAGGAAACGCTTGATACCAATTGCCTGACCCAGTAAGACTGACGTGTCTACTTGCCATGACATTGTACTTCAGTGTACTGGTAACCACAGAGGTAGTCTGAAGTCCTGTTACACAGTGGACTTTTTTCCTTTTAGTACTCCAACTATTACTGCTAGCTTAACTGGTAGCAGATGACTCAAAGATATTTTATGCCTTGCTTAACTGATTTAGATGGTCTGTGGAAGTAGCTTCTTGCAGTGCTTTAGTGTTCCAAGTCTTGATAAGCAGGTTGCAGACAAAAGGCTGCTGCTAATGCCCAGACACATCTAAACTGAAAAACCACTTTGGGCTAGATTTCTGACGCAACTGCAAATTGTAATACTGTCTAGGGAGGATCCCTGTACCTCCTGTTGCCTTTAGGACTGATTTGTCCATGCTGCCAGCTCAAAACTTCTGAGAAAGAAGAAAAAATAAAGGTGGTTACTACTAATTGTGACCTAATTTAGGCTTGCTGTCAAGGGATTTCTGTGGAACATTCCTTCTCATTACTGTTTTGAAATAATTTCGCCAGAAGTATCCAGGAAAGGCAGATGCTTATTAATATATGACTAAAGTTCAACTAGTCCTGGACTCTAGCTATCAAATCCAGTCATTAGCTTTAATTTTCATTAGGGGTCATGCCTAGCTGTGGACTGTAATAGTTGTATTCGATTCTAGCTACAGATAACCTACTGTCTAGTTCTGTGGAGAATGCAGATCAAGAAACTTTGCCCACCTTAGGTACCAAACTACCTGCACTGCAGCGCTCTGCATGTTCCACACCTCTTACCCAAGCAAATCGTTGCACCAAAGAGCAAGACTACAGGCCTAAATCAGCTGGTAGAAAGACACCTACGATGGCCTCCCCAGTACCAGGAGGCCCTTTTCTTCGTCCTGTTCATCAAGTACCCCTTGTTCCCCATGTACCGATTGTACGACCTGCTCATCAACTGCATCCAGGATTGGTCCAGAGAATGCTGGCACAGGGGGTTCATCCACAACATCTTCCTCTGCTGCAAGCAGGTAATCCATACCTTTTTTTCCCCCCCTTTAGGTTAATGCATCTTCTCTGTAAGACTGATTTTGTTAGGAATGGCACAAATTGAAACTCATTACTGGTAATGTTTCTTACATCAAAACTTACCTTTAAAACCAGGCAATAAATTCCAACCCATCTAAATATATAAATGTTTGGTTTGCTTTAATTCCTTATGCTTATTGGGTAAAGCATTTCCTCACTCCTGTTCAACAGGTATGCTTCCACCTGGAGTGGACCTGTCTCACTTGCAGGGAATATCTACTCCCATCCTTGGCCAACCTTTTTACCCGCTACCAACAGCAAGCCATCACATCTTAAATCCACGCTCTGGGACACCTTTGCAGCTAGCAATGATGCAACAGCAGCTACAACGATCAGGTAGGCTAAACATAAAATAGGAGTAAGAGCACTGGAACGCTCACTGGCCTGCCCCAGGTACTATACTTTTGCCCTGGTTGAGTACACTGTGCTAACAAGAAGCTACTTTGTGAATTCAGATACTCATAATCACTAATGTTGTGTGGATATTGGAGCAGTTTTGGTGACTGCAGGCTCTTTTGCCAGAAGGTCCAAGTGAGGAATTAAATTTCAAGATACATGTGGTACAACAGATCTGCCTTTTGCAGCATGTGTGCAGTCTATTTTGCTGGGTGAGAGGCCTCTTGCCCTAGCTGAAATAAGATGCTACTTGATGCTGGCCTTCCAGTTAAAACCTGCATCACACTGTCCAGAACTGGCAGTGTCAGGCAGTTTATGGGAGTATTAATGAGAAGAAACATGTGCAGCCAAGAGTTCCCAGGACTAATAGCATGAGCAAAAGCCATGTTTGGCTCATGTGCCTGATAGGGGATTGCTCTAGGGCAAATCTTTAGTGTTGGGTGAACATTACTCCACCTCTAATAGCTTTACATTTCACAGGCACTGGAGCACAGGGATCACCTGCTGGTGCACAAACAACTCCCCAAAATGTGCTGCCTCGGACTGGGTTATCTCATGGGCACACACAGCTCGACCATCGCCCCAGCCAGAGGAGTGGCTCTCCCATTGGCCTTGCAAAATGGTTTGGTTCTGATGTCTTGCAGCAACCTCTCCCTTCCATGCCATCCAAAGTCATCAGTGTAGATGAACTGGAATACCGGCAGTAAACAGTGACCACTGGGTGGAACACTTGTGATTCTTTAGACTGGATAAACTGTCCATAGTCAGGACTTCACCTCTGTTTGGTTTTTTGGGGGCTTTTTATTTGTAGCACTCTGTGCAAAATTTCTTTTTGAGAGACTCAAGCACATGGCACCTGTCCTGGTCTCATGTCTGCATCAAGACTAAAGGATCCATTACGGCTTGAATAGTGAAGCCTGAAGAAATTTAGATGCAAGACAAAGCCAGTTTAATCCTGGAAGTGTCTATTTTTCTTTTTGTAAGATATGTGAATGAAGTGCTGATATTCTCTAGTGTAGAGGTAGCAGCTATTGATTCCTCCTGCAGAAAACTAAATGTATAGACCCTTGTGTACAGACTTGTGTATAAACAATCTTTTGTATATATACACATAGACTAGCCTTTTTGAATCTATACAGCTGTACATAAGAGTAGCTGATAACAGTTGAGCTTTAGTTGTGCCTATGGTTTGGATCTTTCTCCATTGTATGTGTGGGACTTTCTTTAAGATTAAAGTTGCATATCCTAAGTGTGAGTGAACAGGATAAAGTTGCTTTGCCTTTTCTTGCTGCTCATCTCCTCTAGGCCTCCCTGTCACATTTTTCTGTCACGTACTGTGCACTCAGTGTAGCTAAAGTGTCAAAGTAAAAAGCCCACATCTTGCTGTCTGTGTAACAGAGGTCTGACTCCTTGTGTGTATGACTCCTGCCACTAAATCAAAGAATTGTTTAGTCTTCAAATAGCCTTGAGGATGGGACCTGGTACAGTAATGATGAAAGAGCGTCAGTCTGCCATGGAGGCTGTAGGTACCTACTGGTCATAGCTCTTCCAAGAGGACTGATGCTGATCCTTGTTTAGCTGCAGTATATTCCTTGTTTTAATCTTTCAAACCTGTTACTAAAGGTCATCAAAATGGAGCCTTTGAATCCTCACCCTTCAACTCCTCAGTCATAGCTGTGGTGTGCTCTGTG